AGTTACTAACTTTTTTTATATTAAGATCATTGACAGTAAGTTTGGTCAGTGATTTTTCACTAGGTATATAACTTTCTAGATCCTCGTAACTAGATCAGTCAAAGTAAGACAATATTAGTTGTGCATATGCAAATTATGTGTATGATTTCCGATGAACAGAAACACTCGCAACGTTATTACACTGCTGTTCTAATCAAAATAAGCAGTTGAAATTTCTCATTGTCTATGATGGAATATATTTTCTAGGTTTAAAAAAAGTCAAATTTTGTCTATGAATAAAAAATAAATTTATGACAGATAAGTGTGGATCTTATTTCTCACCAATGCTATGTTATTAAGAATAATATTAGGCTGGCTCTACATTCTACATTCAAATATGAAACACTAAGTTATGTATTGGTAATTGAGTGAGTAACTGTCTTCAGTATCTAGGGCCATTAAAAAAAAGCAAGTGGATGGGAGTTGCACTGCAATTTTCTCAGAAGTTTTAACTTTCGACTACACACATGTGATTGAAGTTTCGATTCTATCTATCTATCTATCTATCTATCTATCTATCTATATATATATATATATATATATATATATATAGATCGAATGTAATTTTTTTCCGGATAATTTCAGTCGAACGAGCAGTTTGATTCAGTAACGTTTTATGAACAAAACAAGTGTATATAATTCCGTATCTGTGCATTTGTATCACTTAGACTGTTCGATCACCTAATCAATGAAGCCTAGCATGTAATATATTGAACTTTATGTACAGCGTATTTCGTTCACAAACACACTCAGTTAATTTATTTTCTCATACTCTAGAAATGTTCAAGCACTTGAACAAGTGAAATATGGTGGACGAAAATTTTCATGCTTAAAATATCCCCGATTTATAAGCAATAATGTATTGAATCAGTAGGAGTACGTTGTGTTGTCTACTCAATTTCTTAACTGTATTTGTCACAACTTACAGTCTTACACAATATCCATTCGTTCCAAGTCTATCAGCTGAATTAACCCAAGGCTAAATTTAATGCTCGTAAATAATTTCCATTTAAAACTCACTCATATGATTATGTATTGAAGATAACAAAATACAACACACACCACGAATGATGAATCATGATAATTAAATTAATAAAAGACGTTTTTGACACATAGCACAATAACGTATTGCAAGTTGGTTTAAAAAGTTTATGAACAGTGAATGTCCTACCAATAGTAGATAAACTAAAAAAAACTGACAACTAGGACTACATAGAAGATTATAAACCAACTGAATCATAAATACTAATTCAAAATATAAAGTCTACTTCACTGAAGCAATGCTACTTTAGTTACATATTTTATTCTAGTTCAACCTAGCCGATATAAAACAGGAAATGTGTGTCCATTGAAGAAGTTTTGACAGAATATGATCACAGATTAGCTAGATAAGCATATGATCGATGATTTAGCTCAGAAGTGTCTTATTCTTTGAATGCGAAATATTTTGAACTAAATATTCATAAAAAGACAATTAATTAACTATATGCAGCCATAAATAAAGAACAGAATAATATTTGTATCATCAGTCTAAAGATCGGGTTTATTTCCAAAGTTTAAAGTTTGATTGGCATTTAACTACTAAGAGTTATTATTGAACAGCTAATGGTATCCTTTTTTTCAAAGCAGAGATCTTCGAAAATTCTGGTGACTAGTGCTATTTTGTTCGAGTTCAAGAGGTATCAGAGACAATTACAGAAGATTCACCTAAAACATAATAAAATGTTTCGAATTATAATGCTAACTTTCGATTGCAAAAGTGGAATAAATCCCAATAAATTTCAGATAATTCTTGATCCCTAATGGGTTTTAGAACTTGGTAATTGGTTTTCCTCAAAAACACTATTATGAAAGATATTTAAATGTATCAAGATTTATTATAAATAGTCATTATTATTATTATAAATAGCCATTACATCATATGAGTGTAAAAGCATGAGAAGTGATATTTTATCTTAATGGAAATTTCATTTAAAATATAATTCAATCAGAACTGTAAAACGTTTCGCCTATCTTTCAATTTTAACCGTTGAAGAAACCAAGTTACTAGTGGAATACTGGTCAATAAGGATTACTGTGACAGACTCATTATTGGATAAATCAAGGTATCCAAATGTGTTCGATCTTCAGTTCGTCGTCCCATAGCATCATTTCGTCAAACTCTCAGTGATTGAGGTTGGAAATTTACTGTAGCTATGTCGAACTAGTTATAAAACTACTTTTAGCAGTACAGAGAATTGAGATATGGCTACAAGTGAATTTCATTGTCACTGGTAAAACATTTCAACAAACCTCACCACTGAAGATGCATCTTACTTCACAGCATTAGCTAGTTTGAATACTGGATATTGTTTTTCCTGCCAATTGCTTCCAGCCACCTAACAGTGAAAAATTGTATGCACACTAGCAAACCTATTAAATTAACTGTATCAACTTGGTTTATAGAAATGAAGCAATACTAAAAATAAAACAAATATAACATTGGCTGTCACTCAGTGACTAATCAATGTAAAATTCTAAAACCTTGTAAACAGGCCGTTGATACACCATGATATTAAATTCTTGATTTATGCTATCTACTTAAGATACCTTTACGTTCTTCTCAAAAAGATCTTGGACCATCAGACTGGGATTAGAGATAACTCATCAAGGAAAAAAATCTCAGTAAATGTGAGAACTATGGAGGCATCTCACTATTGTAGGCACCAAGAAAGAATTTTAACGGTTTTCTTGAATGGAACGAAAGACTTAGTAGACATACAGCTTCCAGATCAGCAAGATGCATTTTGTAAGGAGTGATCGTGTGCCAACCAAACTGGAACACTAGGGATCGGAATTCTCAGTACAAATGTCAAGATAGTTCTACTTGGAGAACTTCCACAATCATCATCAAAAATTTACAGACATTTATAAAAGGTTGTTTATATAAGATCTACTGGTAAGACACCATCAGCTGTAACTTACTGTGACAGAGAATACACCAGTTCCCAACTGAGAAGGGAATTGGAAAAAGGCGCTAGAAGTGGTAATTTCAAGCATAACGGAAATCATGAAATTACTTCTCAAGTCGAGTACTTGCTTAGAACCATCAAGACAAAAGGAAAAGAGACCGACTACAGAACATACTTCGCCGGGAATCTCAGGTAAATTTCAAATTGGCTGAATAGCACTTAGGAAATAACTGGAAAAGAAAGTCCAGGATATAATTGTTTGGGAAAATCCTAGTTGTTGGCTCACATTTGACAAGGAGTAACAGGCGTAAGTAAGTACTTGCTTATTGCTTAAAAACTGACATTAAAAATCTGAAGGATAATATTTCTGTCATTGTTCAGTTTATCTATCCATACAGACTACTTGTAGAAGGTTGAGTATTTTCTCTTCCTGAATGAGTTAGTTAACTTATTTTCGATAATAATGATAATAATGTAACCTATAACGCAAAACAGTTTGATCTAACTTGTTTCATTCTCAAGTGATCAGTTTACATTTACGATTGTTCATAACTAAACAATTTTAAGACGTCTCCACATCGCGTGAAGATAATTTGTGATTAAGTATTTTGCTAAGGTAATTATTAACCAGTGTTTATAGGTATTAGCTGGTTATTGTGAATATAATCGTACTCGTTCAGTACCACATATATTCTCTTCCTAAGTGTTAATTTCTTACTCGACAGTTAATAACTATTGTGATTTAATTCATATTAGCTGCTTAGTATATCTTATTTCAAATATGATTCATAGGAAATATACTCGCCAAACAGTGTTTTCTCTTATTCTTTTCATATATACTTTTCATAAAATGTTTATCTAGCATAAAGCTTTCACAATGCAAAATGAGTTACTACTACACAATGAATTATGTAAAGAAATAAAAACTACACATCAGAAAATTTATTTAGTTATTTTTTGCACATAAAGTGAATAATACATAATTATTATTTCCTCGCACTTTTATATTTATATCTGCAAAAATTAATCTCATAAATTTTGATACTCAATCTACTTCTTACTCTCCCTCTCTCTCTCTCTCTGTGTCATTTCCTTTTTTATCATTTATTCATCATGTTTTTGATTAAAGTTACAATCTGAAATGCAGCATATATATATATATATATATATATATATATATATATATATATATATATATATATATATATATATATATATATATATATGCAATCGGTTATACTGACTATGCAATGATTTGTTTGTGTATGTTAACATTCTGAGTTATCTTGATCGGTATGCACTAATGTATGTGTAAATGTGAGTCTGAATGTGCACCTGCTGTCATACTCAAATGTTGATTCTTTTTCTAAAATACAAGTAAAAATTTCTCAAATTCAGAATATACATGACAATATTTACAAACCTTATAGAAAAAGGGAAAATGATATCAATTAATAATAAGTAGTATAGTTAGAAAATGCGAAAAAAAGTTTTTGGGAAGGGAATATAGATGATGTTGGAAATTCATTTTGCTTTGTTTAACTGAAGTAATTGATTTATTTATGTGCATTTATTTATTCTTGAGTTAATAAAAACATATTTGAAAAAAACAATGTATAAAATATAGAGAATGTCAAGATAGGTATTCACTAACTGTTATTTTGAATTAGTAACGGTTATGAATGAAGTATGAAATTGAACGTTCAAAACAAACTAATAAGTCAATATTTTCTTTATGTTACAATAGTAAAATGGGTAGAAATTCTCGCTGAAGTCTTCATTCATTAGAGCAGATATTCTTCGGTATATCTCTGCGTATTAAACCAGTATTTTCTACAGACATTACAAAAATGGAAAACAATATATTGATGATTGAGATCAGTATGAAACAAATGCCCGAACAGGATTTCGTTGTAGGTGAAAGATACATTTTTCAAGAATATGAACTTAAGTCATCATATATATATATATATATATATATATATATATATATATATGAATTGAAATGCACAGATCATACACTCAAATATGCATTTATAATGATTATTTCCTTCAAATGGTTGATAACGTTTTAGTGAAAGAATTGGTTGGCATAAATAATGTTCTACCAATAGGCCGAGATGTAGAAACTACAGAGTTTGCAATTGTTGGAGAATTCAGCGAACACAATGGTAGTGAACACTGTGGTGAGCTGGTAAAGGAAGAGAAGGATGATGACAATGATAGGGGTAATGGTGATGATAATGCCATTGATGACTGACTTACAACAATGGGAGATAGCATTTCTGTAGATTTATTGATATCGGCTGAGTTCAGAAATTGTGTCTGACTAGTATTATCTTGAAACTCATACATTATATCATTATGATTGTATGACGAAATGAAAAGAGGATTAGTATTAGAAGCATTTGAACTTTCTTGTACCAATGATATAGTTGCAGTAATACTATCCATTGGCGGTATACGTTTAATTAAATCAAATGTATCAGATTTCATTGAAACGTTTGTTGTAAATGAATTATTTGTTTGGAAGGCATAACTCTGTGCATTGTATGATTCCATTTGTGTTTTAAATAAATTCATAACTGATTCATATTCAGAAAGTGAATGGTTTTGTTTCAAGTGTTTCATGAATTCACTGAACTCAATAAATGCTTGTTCATTTAAACATAAAGGACAAGATATTTTATCTGAAAATATCATTGGAAGATTTTCATAATTTGCAGGTGAATTATCCGATCTGATAATTTTCTGCCTTCGTTGTTGTAGATGTTTTAAACGACGATGGTAATTGGTTAGATTTCTGTATCTGTTCAATATACTGTAAGGGAAAAACTTCCTGCTGTCTGCTTTGTGACGTTGCATTTTGCCATTATTCACCGGCTGATTTATTTGTAAACCTTCAATTCGTTCAATATGCTTATCCTAAAGATAAATATAAAAATGGGTAGAAATACCTAAAGTTATACTTTTTTCATATTTTAATAGAAGAGAAATTATAAGTTTTAAAAAATAATAAACATTGGAAGGAGTAAAACTCTTCATGTTGTCAACTATCAAACAATAAATTTAATTTCAACTCGTCTTAAGTTTGTCTTAAAAATATCAAGTCTTTACTCATTAATTTAATTGATTTTCGGTGGATCATTGATTCAACGTTTAAGATGGCAAAATTCACTTGGTTGAAAATCTTCTCAGCTTCAGACCACAAAAACTTCAGAAAAATACTAAGAAAGTTGTAGTGGTCAGTTCATTTTATTATGGTTTATGGAAATTAAAAGTGACTATAAATTGTTTATGAGAGCTTTTTGTCCGTGTAAACAATGATTCAAATCATTTAGCACAAACTCATTTCATTCTTCATAGTCTTAAAAGGTGAATTTAATTTAATCTTTTCCTCTGAGATTTAAATTCACCAACGTAATTAATTGAAATACATAGTGTCATGGTAACAGTGATCTAATTTGAAACTTTTTTAAAAAAAATTTCTCATTTGATAAAAGAATTAATTACTGATTATTTTCTTTTCAAATTGTAGGTGAATCCCCCTGTTAGTCTGAACAATTAATGAATATTCTTTGTATTATTCAAAAACTAATGTTTCATTTTCATGTGTAAACTTTTTTTAAATTGACCAAAAATATTTTTAGATGAATGAAATGTCCTTTGTTTTCATTTAATTTCAGCTAACATTCAGAACATTTTCAAAATTTTTTTCACTTCATTCTTAAACTGACCCAATTTATTTATAAAGGAATATATTTATTGAAATTTAGCACACATACAGAAATTATTACGTGAAATTAGGAAATCTCAAGATTCAAGTTTTTTATGGAAAATGTGAAAGTATTGTACACAATGAACAGCCTGTGTTGTCATAACTACCAGTAATTACATTTCATAATCTGTAAAATATTGTTTGTTTTCTAAATAACTAATTTTACTTGGAGTTAATTTAAAAAAGGCATTAAAACGAGCAAGTATATTTCTTTTAAAATATGTTTTTCTTTGTCATGTATTATTGACACAAATTTCCGCCTCAAATGTATTTATACTGATGGTTTGTAGTTTTGAAAAATCCGCGTTTCACATATGAATTACATAAATATTTACAGGTAATATAAAACAAACAAGCTTTTACCAATAATTTAAATATTAGTTGTGTAAACAAGAAACATTTCAACGCCGAAATAAAAATTCAGTAAGCATAACTAGTGCAGATAATTTGGCCACTAGTTGAACAGTATCTAAGCAAGACACAAGAGAAGCAGAGGTAAAACAAATTCAAATCTATGAAACATTTTATCCTTAACTTGTGATATGAAACTGATATTTTACTTTGTGCGAATTTTTAATATCATAATTATCGTTGATTTCAGTTCTACGATTTTCTAATTAAAGTCGGTTATTTGTAGATTTGTATGTTTTGATTTGACCATCCTGGAATTAATTAATGTTGAATAGGAATATTCAATAAAATCACTGGCTGACACATGGGTAAACTTCGCTATCCTTATGAAGTCTCCAAAGATGTATCTGGTTATTCGTATGTCAGATTTAAACTATCGTGTAAGTTTTTTTATATTGTATTCACTTGAAAATGTGAACTTTAGAATACAAAATGTGCTTCGACAAATTACCTAATTCTAAAAAAAATTCCACATAAATATATGCACAATTTTTAATTGTTGATTATTTTTCAATTAACATTTTTCATTTCTACTGAAACGTCACATGAATTGAAAACAGTCAGTTTACAATAACAATGAAGTGTACAAAAACAAAATCTAGAGAAAGAAAACAAATAATTGAACTGTGTCGAATTTGTTTAAGAAGTTTAATATATGACAAGATAAATTTTTCTACATTTAACACGTTTGTTTATCAAGTGAATTAACTTGATTAAATTACTGAAATAATATTAAGTACAATGAAAAAGAAAATGCAAAATATGTTCGATTCCATTTTTTTCTTCGCAAACAACACTATTTTTATCATGTGAGAAAGTTGTGTGTGAATAATTGACACATTCAACTAATTTACATAGATTCAGATACAAATATCATGTGATATTGGTGTTCGTCTGAAATGTTATTGTATACTGGTTTAGTAAGGATGTCTGTTTATGGTGTTTGATTGCTTCGGACTGGAGAACATGTTTTTACAAAGTATTATTTTGAAAGGCTAAACAAAATCATTATCTTTTTTTTTAAATCAATTTTCTCTAAATATCAGATCATACAATATCCATTATTATGAATTTCAATGGTATTCGAATCAACAAAATTATGTTTTACACATGACTCAACAGTGATTTGCATTATGAACTGACAAAACTTGAAGGATATTCGAAAACATATGAAGTAGTGATTAGTTGTGTGAAACGATTTAAACAAATCAGTAGTGCATATTTGTTATGATCCCCTTAAACAACGAATCCGAAAACTTTAAATATTTTTTAGGCATATATATATATATACCTTATGGATCAACAGAATTGTTGATTTGTTATATCGAAAACCTTGTGTCTATCAATTAATCTTTAGCTAACGATTATCAAGAAACATTAAACAATCGAGCTGAGATTTTTCAGTCGATTTCGAAAAACTGACTTGCCATAATTGATATTCATTTGCAAAAATTATCATAGATCACAATCAAATGAAACTTATAATTTCAATGTAGCTTTCAATTTTTTTCAATGTAGTCATGTAGCCTTATTAGTAATCATTCAGTGAACATAAAGTTGAACACTGACCACTGATTTTAGTGTTAAAAATACCAATAATAAACCTCAGCCAAATTGTTGTTTTCCGCCAAACATCATTGAAATCAATTACTTTTGGTAGATTATAAGATCAAAATCTATAATCGATGTGTATTAGCAAATAACCGAGCATAATTTAATAGTCTCATTTCACACTAAACCATAGTTGCAAAAACTAAATGTAAGTTTCTGGTTAAAAAGAAAACAGAATAAGCATGTTTACTTGTGTTTAGATTTGTTGTCATTTCAAATCTCTTTTTCTCGAAAATTACAACTTAATTTATTGCATGGGCTTTTAAAATGCACAAAACAAAAACTGGACAAAGCAGACAAACGAAACTACTTACAGCATTCCGTTTTCTCTTCATGCACATTTTCCTTCGAACATGTTGAATAGATTTTCTCTTTAATTGTAATGATAATAACAACTGATTTGATTTGCAATATAATCTTTGGTGTGTACGACTGACACAAGATGAACTGAGGTATTGATTTTTGAAATATTTCCTCATTATTTGTCCCCGTTTCAGCCAATTCATTCTGTTGCTTGTGATGTTTGTTTCTTGTAGTTTATTAGTAATTTTCGTTGTATCATTACTACTATTGTTAATAATATCAGTAGAAGCTGTATTGTTAGTTGTTTTCAGTACTGTACAACAACAAGTACTCTTTGGACTTTCTGAAGTTGTTTTTAAACTTAAATTTAAAGGATTCTGTTATTGAAAAATGTGAAAAAAGAGAAATAATTTAGAAAAAAAATCGATTATTTGTGTAAAAATGTGACAGATTAGTTGTTGGTTATTAACTTGCTTCTTTTTCTAAACATTCCGTATGTTTTGCTAGGATATGTTGAGAATCTATTTTTTGTTACGACTGAACTAAACGATAGATAAAAATGATTTTGACCATAAATCGATAATGAAAGACAATGAGAAACAAAATAACTAATTTTTCCTTCATGCTACAAGCATGAATTACGCATAAAGTTATCTCCAATTTTGTTTTCAAGTTATATCAAGCTAAAAAACACAATATTCGCTGAGACAAGGAATCGCAGTTGGATGTATAATTTTGCACATTTTATTTTAGCTACTGTTGACTATCAACGTTAGTTATTGCTTCCGTTCTGGTTATTATTCTGTTTTTTAAACTCAGAAATTATAAATACACATACGATTCCCTGGAAATATTGTTCATAGATGTCGCTTTTCAACAATACATGAGTGATGACTAGCAGTCAACGTTAGAATTGGGATTACATTTGCAGAAATCTTAAAGTTAATTAATCTGTTTTCATTTTTAATATGCACTCTGCGCTAGGGTGTAACGAAATTATTTGTCCAAATTTTGATAATGTTTTTTCATGTACTATTATAACAACTAAAATATTGTTGACTGGTCGAAATATTCTTTTACTAGTTTGTTGCTGAATGCATCACATAGATTGCTGAAAGAATCGAATTTCAGACAATATGGTAAAAAAATCTAAAACCGTACCTATCAAGTGATGTTGTTTTTGCTTACGCGATAAGCGTAGAAAATAAACTAGGGTAAAAGCTTCTTTGTAATTTATTTATTAAATGCATTGCTTTCCTATTATAATTTCAATTATTGACATAATCTTCAACAATCTTTGACGAGAAAGTCGAAGGAATAGCTATTCCAAAAGTTAATTTTATTTCTACCAGTTGTTTTGCTGATTAAATCTAATATATTGAGTCTAAGTGTGATCTTTAACTAATAAGATAATAAAAATCTATTTAATGAAGAGTTTAGTTTTGTAAAATGCTAACCTATAGCGATGAGTAATTTCACAAGCAACATTTGTTAAATCTGAATATATATTCTGAGTATCATGTATTGAGTTCTTAACACTTCAACTGAAATTGTCAACAGTTTTGAGGATTTTCTAATTTTCTCTTCAAAATATTCCCCAATCAGTCTGCAAGCCCAAACACTTTCAACTCTAAACTGATGTAACTTTCCTGTTGATTTAAAGTTAAGTTTTGGCGGAAAATATTGATAATATGAAGTCAGCCGAGGTAACAGTGAGGAAAATAATAACTCACAAATAACGCTGAATAAATTGGCCAAAATTAAAACTATGAATCATTGAATAGCCACACTCTGTGTGGTTAAATAGTCTGGAATTCATGTGAACACTTGAGAGTACTATTTTTGATGTTGTATTGAATGATGAAATTTTACTAACAAAGATTCTTAAACTTAACAGAAAAATTGCCGAAAACTAAATGATCTCTATTAAAGTAAGTTTGTGATGAATACAAATTCCAAATATATTTCTCAATTTAATGAAATATTAATTGAAAATTTCATTTATGCATCATAAGTATCTTATTGATTACAGAACTCAAATTTAAACTTATTCTAACCTTGTTTTCTTCATTTTCAGATTCTGTATCTGTTGAGATTTTATTCAGTTCAGAGTTATGTATAACTGATTCATTAGTTTCCAGTTTTCCTGACATACTTGATTGTGAATACGGATAGATATCTGAGTTTGAAAACACTGGGAATGGTAGTATATTGGGATAATTTATTCTTGGATACGGAACTAAAGACGATGATTGATACGGATATCCATAACCAAGCCAAGGTAAATTTGTAGCAGCAGTAGTTTGGAATGTTAAAGGAAGTGAGTTGGTTGTTCCTGAAATATCACTGGATGTAGGCACACAAGTTAAGGGAGTCCCTATTGAATTATCATTACTAATTATTGTTTGTTCAGAGTTATGGGTCCATTGTTCTTGAATAGATGTCATACTAGAATTTCTACATGAGATTTGTGATTCGCAGGGAGAATTGAGTGTACGATTCGGATTAGAGTAGTCGCTAATATCTTTGTCTTCTTCCTGAGATACATCTCTACTGCACTGGTTCACTGCTCGTCGTAAAGATAAACTCACATGTGACTTCACTGTTGGAAATGGCTTTTCAGTTCCAGATCGATAACATTCTACTGATCCTAAAGATAGATCTGTCACACCATGTTTGTTAGCCTTGTGTGTTCTTAGAAAATATTTATTACAAATCCATTTATTGCATATATCACACAACACACGCATTTGATTGGGTGATTTTCGTGGTACACCAGACTGAGCTACAGGATTTGAAGTATTTCCTATAGAATTTGTTGGTGAAACCTCTGAGCTTAGTTGATTTAATGTAGACTGATTGTTTGAACTTTTATTTGTAGATAAATGAGCCATGGTGTTCCATGATCGGCTTCCAATGGAATCTCCCACTACACCAACTGCTGTCATTGTTGCAATCGGATTGACTGGTAATGTAGAAAATGCAGCAGCAGCGGCTGCAGCTACCATCGATGTCTGATCACTATTGCCCGTAGTACTAGATAATGGAATTTGGTTTAATACTGTAGTATTACTATCATTCATCGGTCTTTCTATCGTATTCATCAGGTCAAGTGGAATAAAGGGAAATAAATTCGTTGAAGAGGTATTAGTGGAAATATACTCGGCTACAGCAGTTGATGAAAGTTGGTTAGATGAAGAATTTGGAGTAGATTTCATCGGTTGTGTATGTAACTCTATGCTCAGTGGCTTCGTGTCTGTTATGTCAGAAATGGCTGTTGATTCACCATCGGTTAGTTTAGGTTCAGTTTCTATTAAATGGATAAATAAAATGAACCATACAAATTGTTTCCTTTCTTAGTAGTACAGAAAATACCTGAAGTTAACAGATCAAATATAAATTATAACAAGTGATATTCATATATTAATAATCATACCTTTTTTTGAAAAAAAGTAGTTTTTTTATATAACACGCAAACCATTCTTATGTTCACCTGTTACCGTTTTTCAAGTGTCAGATGACATAAGGTTAAGGTAACTGAACCATGAATTTAAAAAAATACTACTATTAAAAAACTGACAAAATAATATTTACAGTATACCTCAATGAATTTTTTTCACTGTCGTATTTCATAATAATGATAATAATAATAATATTAGTAGTAGCAGTAAGCTATTTGTAAGAAAACTAGACTAAAACTAATAATGACAGTCAGTGTGAAGTGTTATTGAGAATGATGATGACCCCGCCCAAGGCATTGATCATTTTGAAAAGTAAAATAAAGTAGATACAAACCTAAAATTACACAATGTCTTAGTCAGTCAAGCCGTCAACATACAAGAGATCATTGATTTCTTTTTCTATCTTCAGCGATAATGTTATGTTTGTCTAGATACCTACCTACCTATTATGTATCAATATTGACTGCAAGTTCATGGCATCATTCATCTTGATATCATTCATGCATAAATGTATATAACATGAGATTTGTTTACTTTATTTATCTGAGAAGAAAATTTTAAAAAAAAACCTTTTTTTTTCATTTTGGTCATAATAAATAACTTTGTTTGTTTATGGTTAAATTTTCAAAATGTGGGTAGTTATTATTATTGAGAAGAAAGTTATTAATATTGATAGAACTGTTTATTATTGTGGAATGCAAAAATGTTATTTATTTACTGATTACGTTTTTGGTTTGGGTCGAATAATAATAATAATAAAATAATGGTTTGTCAGTCAAATTCAATACATCGTATGACTAATAGATTATTTTCATTTAGTTAGAGTAACAGCTCAGCATAAAGCATATTTCAATACGATATCATTATCAAGCGAATCAGTTAAGTCGAACACTCAAGTCGTTAGACTTATGGTTTCATATAGATTTGCTAACTTTGACCATATATATCTATAGATTTATAGCATTACCTTTATTGAGGAATTCCAATGTTAAATATACCATCTATCCACAAGGTCTCTGATTTGCTCCAGTTCTTTAGTTGCATGGGCAAATCGTGACGAAAAAAGATCACCAGTGAGATAATATCGTACGTAAAGCAGGAAACAAGTTTTATTGCAACCTGAAGATAAATTATCTATGATTTGAAGAATTATTAAAAAAGCAATTTGTTTTACTTTCTAGCTCACTAACAATTACAAAAATGTTATTCATAGGAACTTCATTTCTATGATGCGTATTAACGGTATTTTTAGAAAATAACTGGTGAACGATTCCAAAGCCTAGTTGTTTCTTACTCTTGAAAGTGTATTTTGTTAATTTTATATATTGATGAGGTAGATAAATGTCAACTAGTAATTCAAATCTTATATCGATGCTGTGATTATCTTGAGAAGAAATAATTTCAACATCTAAGCTAACGACAATTACGTAAGGCGGTTGATTATGTTACAGTGCGTAGATAGCAATAAAAGATCATTTAACAATACATAGATGATAATTGAAAAATACAAACGCTGAACAGTTGTTTTGATCTAATATGGAAAAATATTCAGCAGCGAGCTTGCCAAAGGATATAACGCTAGATATTACGAATTCATAGTGCAACATTACTTATGATGCTGATCAAGTTGATAATGAGAAAACAACTCATTGATGTTACTAGTTGTTACATTCATAGTACACCAAAAATAAATTGACAGTAAAAAAATTCAAACTACTTGTTGTTGTTTTAATTTGCAAACTAATTCGCTACATAAAATGCATTTACATTGACTGATGAAGTTCTGTATATTTACTCAGTTAATTTATTTTCCAAAACAAAACTCCCAGTTTGAATATATTTATACTTTGAAAGTAGAAGAAGTTTTCCTCGAATAATCAATTGTGTTTAGAAAACGAATTCACTCGGAACTACATGCTTTTATTTCTATATAGGCTGCCAACAAAACTAAATTATAATTTCAGAGAAAATTTTACAAAGATTTATTTGTTTCTTTCGTTCTCTCGAATAGTTGATTTGTTTCACACTTTTTTGTTATTCTACTTTAATACTGAAGGTGGTGATGAGAGTAGTGATGAAGAACACAAAGGAATGAAAATTATAAAAAAAGAGAGACGACAACAAGCAAACGCTTAGAAATGTATATTTCAAATTGTTTACACCTGATCGCGTGCATATTTGGTCAACCATGTCATTATAATAAAAATAATTAAATATTCACATTCAATTATTTTCTGTTCTTCGAAAGTTCTACTGCCTCTTTATTTCTCACTTCCAACCTGACAGTGTAAAATTCCATTTAATTAAGATTTTCTGTTGCACGAACGCCTATATGCGTAGATGTATGTGAATAGACACACACACACACATACACAACAACAACAACCTTGTATATTACATTTAAGTATTTAGAAATTTAATGCTTTTGCCATTGTACATGAGCGAAGAGATTCTTCGACATACTTTATGTAGAGGCTTGTGTTTTAAAGACTACTCAAAGAATTCAACTTATTTTTTAGTGTTAAACTTTATAATTTTATTGAATGAATAATTTCTTAATGTATATATATATATAATATATATTATACATATATATATATATATATATATATATATATATATATATATATATATACAGTTCATTGTTAAGGATTATTATACTCACTAATCCATTGCGTAGACTTGTGAAGAATTGAATGAGTATTCCTATTCCGATACATATATACCTGCACATACATACATTTTCAACAAAATAAATCTGCTGTTTGTGTACATTTATGTATATAATTAGTGTATACAAAAGCAAAACTTATTACCACTGGTTTTATTAAATTTAAATGTCACGGTTTATTAATCTAGGCTATATATATATATATGCTCGCACCTCTGTATAATAATAATATGTGCCTTTACTTATTATACAAAATAAGTCAACCTTGTTTTTTTTTCGCCTTTGTTTAACGATATATTTTGATATAAAATTCACTTTTCCATTCTAATTAATTTTTTCCTCATATTTTGCAATTGTCCCCCTCCTCATTTCATCGATATCACCTCGTTACCTCCTTTTTTTCTCCGCCTTCACTATTTTAAGCATTGCTCCATTTTCTACATCAAATCAGTTTCTAATATTTTTCTCACTAATCTAATGTGATAACGATTAGTTTTCAGTTGTTGTTGTTGTTGCAGTTGATAATATCGGATAAAAATCCACTTAACAACACCTAATCTACATATATTTTCTTCTTTAGTGTATTCTTTAAAATTATTCAACCGATTCTGTGTGAATTTTATCATCTTTCCATTACTCTTCTTTTTTTACACAAGCCTACATCCAGTCGAACTGTTCGAAAGTTTATGTTTATTGTTGTCGTTCATTTTATTCCTCAACATCTTTATTCTTGTTATTATTCTTTGAAATTGTTGTTATCATTGTCGTTATGCTTGTTGAGTTTAAGAGTTCAATTAATTTATTTCAAAGTTCAATTTATTTTGCGTGATTATGAATTAATTTATTTTACTTCATTCAATTTATTAATATTCATCCTTATATATATATATATATGTATATATATATATATATATATATATATATATATATATATAATGTGTTTTTCAAATTGTTTTTTAAAGCATTAAAACAAATGTTGTTTTTCTTCTTTCCAGCATTTTTTAATAGGCATTTTCTTCTAGAAAACGTTGACGACATAAGAATAAAATAATCATGACAATAATCCAGCACTAGACAAAATTTAGTCGAAAAATAAATATTTCAAAAAGGAATTGAATAAAATTGCAAGCCAATAACTAGAATAATTGTGAACAGGAATATTGATGATATAAATAAGGAAGTCAGTAATAGGACATTACGTTGTGCTTATACGGAAGTACACTTTCAGTTGAATAATATTCATCTTCCTATCTATTCTAATTTAATGAAAAGTAGATTTTGGTAATTTTACGTTCGATGAACTAATCATTTCACTAAGTATAGTTTCAAATTTCAAATCGAAAATACTAGAAATTAGCCAAAATTCACAGTGTCAAAGGCAAATACAGTTGAGAAACTATGAAATAATCAATTTTTCCGCGATCTTGTAACCATATTTTGGAGCATTACAGATGATACCAGTTTTCTTCTCTGGATCACTTACACCTAAATTACTTAAGAATACACTAGCATTCTTCTTAATCTACTAGCTCTTGTCTTTTATTTCTATTTCTAACTGATCTAGACTGAAACAATTTCATTTTCCGTATCATTAATTGTATTCATATTTGAATGTGTACTTTTTATGCAAAAGTACACTTCTGACTACAGCTCCTTCATGTATATATTACATATACATTTTAAATTAGCTGTCATATAAACTACCAGTGTTCTTTCCAAAAACAACGTTAGTATTCATTTATCTAAACTTAACATAAAGCAACCTCTACCACTACGAATGAAATTACTTCAAATTATTTTTCCTCAGTCAGAAGTGTAGTTTTGGGATGAGTTATAATTTAGATCATTATAACGATAACAACAAACTAATGTCAGCTTCCAATTATATTCTAGAAATCTTTAGTAATTTGTTTGATTTATAAGATGATAAAGAGGATTTTTTATTTACTCCAGTAAATTTATTCCTTAACTGTAATTTTATATTGTAGACTGGATTTAGTTAGGCCATCATCAAAAAAAGAGACAGTACGAGGCGTCCGTTTTCTAGGACCTCTCTGTGGAGTGCATTCACAAACTTACCCAGGGTCAAACCCTGACTTTTAGACTTAACATAAAACGCTTAACCTTTAGACTACTGAATTAGCATTTACCTTACTAACTTCACCCAGCGTCGTTCATTGTCATCAGTGATATTTGGAGAAGTTTCAACCTGGTTAAACTCTTTTGACCACAGGTTCTAACTAGAACTCGGAATTTTCCCTCGAAACTAGTCATTAATAGATATTATTAAAATTTGTTTTCCAAAGAATCCCAGGTTCATAACTAATTCCGTTACAAATCACTCAAACTCTTGACGAATATGTAGTAATAATTAATTGCAGCCATTACCGGTTGACTACTTTCTTGTTGAGAAGTGCGAATCACTGATGTAGAAGAGAGTACAATATCAATGTCAATTTAAGACCAAGTGTATAAAGTTGAATATTTTTGATTCATAAATCATTTCAGGTTCATAAATTCATAATTCACATATCCTAGTCAACAAGTAGTAAGCTTAACAATTCATTAGTTTTCTAGATTGAAAAGATTGGCTTAATTTCCAAACGATAATTTCTAAAACCATATGTAGTTCAAATGCCAAAAAACAACCTTATTATTTGACTGACACTAACGCGAAAGCAGATTGACTCGATTTATCAAGAGATAAATAGTTACTAGAAATAAATTTATGACTAATTCTTAGTTTATTGCTTTACTTGACATATTTAAAATTAGAAGTTAATTGAAAATATGAAGAGTGAGATGGAAGAGACCTTGTGAAATTTATTGTTTAGTGGTCAATAACTGTCAATTAAATGACATACTGTTTACTTTATAGATAAATCTATCATAAAACATAATTTGAAATGAAATCCTCAAGCCAGAAAATATATAAAATAGTTAATAGGAAAACATTTCTTGTTAAGAACTGTTTCTTTCTTGAAATAACAGAATGAAACTAGAACATTAACGAATAGGCATTAAAAGATAAGTATGAATTTGGAAAAGAAAATAATCACGAAGGTTATGACAATATAGAAATGACAATCAAAATTTTGTTAAATATATGTTAGAAAAGAAAAGCAGATTTCTCAATTGTCACATTAAATATGTATGTGTACATGCACAAAATCAGAAAAGTGCAATAAGTCTGTCAAAGTTATCAATAGATTAACAGGCATTTTGTTCCAACTCTCTCTCCCTCTATCCTCTTATCTTATCATTAATCTTGATTCTAACAGACAATAACTCACATTTTTTCTACCTTAACTTATTATTTCATGCTTTTACATTCAACTGAGTAATTTATATCTATAGTAGACTGAATTGACATGAGCTTAGTTGAATAGAATGTTTGAAGCTACGTTTATATGACACATTAATATGTCTATGAAAACAAAGATTGCCAAAAATTACGTTGTATGTGAGTTACGAACCTTAAATAGTTAACATGCTACATAAACAAACTAAATATGTCAAAGTTATCAGGACAATAATTTAATGCAATAACTAAAACAATATGCCAACCATGTGTAAGCTTAATTATATTAAATTTGAAATTCTGATAACATTGAACACAATACTTAATTTCCTATTCAACATCTATTTACAAACTATGGTTCGTAAATGATTTATGCTTTTTGTGGAGTAGAAAGCGTTTCGTTTATTTGTGTTGGTTACTTGAATCTTCTCAGTGATGTTTAGGACTGTAATCGATCAGTCACTTTGTCATCCTGTGAAGATTACTTCGACATTACCGTTGAGTTAAAAGCATAATTAGAGGAGATGGTTTGTGACTAGCAGAGGAATCCAAACACGTTTCATTTAGACTTAGTGTCCAGGCGAATAACGTGACTGCGTTCGAAGCGAACGGTACCGAGTTCGAGTCCTGGAATGCATACAGATGACGAGTCCTACATAGGATGAAACGTATATCCTTGATTCCAGTACTAGCCACTATCCATTTCTGTTAAGAAGTGCTTCGTTTGTAAAAATTTCAATTTTTCAAATAATGATAATAATTATGAACTGATCAGAATTTATATTGAATTTAGAATCTATGGGTATGGATAAATAACTTTAAGAGTTTTGATTAAGTTAAATTTGTATTTCTCTACTGTTTTTTAATTACTAGCTAGTTATCCATTTATCCACCTGTGAAATTCGTTAAAATCCAATCGTTAATTATACTCATTCATTAATTCACCTATTAACCCACTCACAAATATATGTGATAAGAGGCATATATACACATACTATGGATCTTTTTAATTTTACATGTAATTCAACAGAAAATGAAATTTAATTGATCATTGCTTTATGTAAGAAGAGTAACAGGGAGAGTGTGCAACTTGACTATTAGTCATAATATTTACATTTTTCTACAATATCTGTTTATCATTCTGACTTCTACTCTAAGCTAAGGCTCACTTTGCTAAAATCTATTAATTTGCCTTATTTATACAAAATTACTATTCCATCACTTATCAGCCTTTAACATAGTTATTCAAACTTTCGGGTACCACAAGTTAAAAGACGGTTTCTGACAAGGTAGAATAAGTTAAAAAGAACAGGAATAAGATCCCATCCTTGATATTATCTTCCAAATACATATGGTTGTTCTGAATTTTCAAGGATCCTATAAGTAATAAGCAGATATTGAAATAATAAGTATGTTGTCATTTCAAGCATCAAATCTAAAATATAGCAGCCTGTATTTCTCTAAGGTTGTATACTTCTCAAGAAAATCTATTACAAACGGTAAATACACCAATCAAAAAGGAATTTATATTCACTCACTTTGATTAGATGATTGTGATTCTTTAAGAATCAAATTAGTGCAACAATTATTTGCATTGATTGGGTCTACATTTTTACCAGATGGCGAAGTACATCCTTTGTAATGATTATCGTTAACATTGGGTTGTTGTATCCTGTTGTTTTCTGTATTTCCACCTTGAACGTTGTCATTTATTGACTTAGTTTGTATTTCAGATAAATTATCAAAACATTTATTATCAATCGGTTTGTCTATCTTTGGCATTGGTTTAGCACGTAGCATATTCATAAAAAAGTCCGGATCAGTTGGTGACAATTTATGAACACTGCTTAAATGTGTAGGTAAAAATAAACGTGGTCCAATAGGTAAATCACATAACGGACAATAAATCGATGTTATAGCAGAAGGCATTTCAGTAAGATCTGAATTTTTAATGTTATGATTACTAATGGGAATATTCGTATGATTGTGAATATCATTAGTGAAGGAATTATTCCATACATCGATATTATCTAGATTAGATAAAAGTGATTTACCTAATTGACTGTTTACAGCTTGTTCAGAAATAAATTGATTTGAAGTGAACAATGGCCAGTATGTTAATGGAAGAAACTGATATACTAAGCCAAGTGTAGAATACGCTGAACTCAATGAATTTAACATATCGTCAGATAATGCTGCATCTGGTTTACAATTTTCATCGGAACTCAGTATAGAGTTAATCTGATGAGAACTAGGCACACAATTTATCGTTTGTAAATCACCTAGGGAATAATTAAGTGATGAGTTTTCTGACGTTGGTGGATTTCTCATTGGTGGTCCACCAACATCTTTTGGCGATATTCCATGAACTCTTATTTTATGTGTCCTCAAAAAGTACTTATTACATAATTCCTTATTGCATAATTCGCAAGTAACACGATCAGCTAATTTTGCTGCAACCATACTATTTTTAAAGGCATCTAATGAATGTGTACCAAGACGAAAATCAGAGCTCTCCGGATAATTCATATTCACTGCATTCGTATTTAACTTGTTCACAAAAAATAGGGATGAGTCAGATTCCTCCTTTTTTGTTCCAACTTGATTACATTTTCGTGAATCACAGTCACTATTATCATTGTCATCGATATCCATTGCTAATTTTTCTGTATTGTGGTGAATGCTGTCCTTCCTATTAAAATTATCAATACCCTTCACTTTTGTGGCAAAATTTTCCAGAAGATCAAACTGTTCTTTTTCACTTTTTAATTCTGATTTATCTGGATTAGTTTGATGATTTAAACGATGCAACTGGAGGAAATATTCATTACAAAATACTTTCTGACATTGATCACATTGAGCTTCACGTAAGGCAACGTTGTTAAAATCGAGTGAAGGCGGTATTGAAAACAAAGGAATATCAAGATGAGGACTTAGTGTATGCACCAAATTCGATTTCACTATCATCTCAGAAGGGTTTAAAAAGCCAGTTGTAGGTGGCGAAAAGTTCGCAGCTAATGCCATCATGTAGTAATGCTGTGCTGAAAGTAGCGGATTTAAATCTTTTGACTGAACGTTTGATGAATCCACCATGCTTTTCTGTCGGACATTTAACTCATCTTTACTATTAATATTATGAGTATGTGAAGCAATTGTATTAAAGGCAGGTGTCTGTAGAGAATTATTAGCTTCATTCAGAATACTTTGAGACCAAGTGAGGTCTACTAAGTGGTTTACATTACTGCCATTAGTAGTGCTACTAGCAACATTATCGTTACTGCTCATTGTACTCATATTTGTAGTGCTTACACAGTTTTTGTTCCATTGAGTCATTTCATCATTTCCACATAGTTTTCCATTAGTTATTTCACCTACATAACTAGGAAGCAATGGATTACTTCCGCACTTAATATAATCATAAATATTAGATAATGATTTATTAGTTAATTCACATTTTGTCGGTGATTGTGTTTTCATAAAATCAAATCGAAGGTCATTCATTTGAGTCTTATCAAAATCTCTTATAAAATCAATCCCTTTGACTTGATCTTTTATTGTGGAATTATCACTGAGAAACATCTGATTATTAGTACACTTAGTAGCAATATCGGTATCAGATGAAGCATTATTAATCAAACCATTAACATTGCTCGTACTTTGATGATTAGTAGTACTAAGCGATTGGTTAAAATTTTTTACTTGACTTAAATTGTTCATAGTTTGTGTTTCATTGCCACGACGACGACTATGCGAATATGGTTCAGTGTGGATACCATGAACATCCGTTTTGTGTTTACGTAAATAATATTTATTACAAAAATGTTTTTGGCATAAATCACAAAAATCTTCATCGGCTTTTCGTGAACTACTATTCGAGTTATTATTATTATTATTATTATTATTAGTAGTAGTAGTAGTAGTAGTAGTAGTAGTAGTATTAGTAGTGGTAGTAGTAGCAGTCATAGTAACTGCACTAATAGTATTAGATATACTGTCATTGCAATTATTTGGCGTTATAATTACGTCAGTATATGAATTTAAAACAGAGTGATTATTACACAGATGGCTTTCATTTTCCGATAAAAATGACTCTGACTTATCAACACTATGATAGTTATTCATAGTCCCTGATACTGCTAAATTCTCTGACAACGACAACGACGACGACGACGACGATGATGATGATGATGATGATGATGGTAAAATTAAGTTTTGGGAATTATTCATATTCATTGATGATATACGGGTAGAATGAGATCTGAGCATCATAGTGTCATCAGTGTCTAAGCTAGTTATCGCACTGTTATTGTTATTAATATTTCGAAAATTATTAACTGTTGAATTGACAATATTTGTAATTATGGCATTAGTATCGATTGATGCGATTGTATCTGTATAACCTTCAGTCCAAGGACGAACTAAATTGTCGGTGAGTTTATTCGTGAAAAAGTCACCTGATGAAAATAATGGTGTCGGCATAGACAATAAATTGGTTGTATGACCACTTGTAATTTGATTTAACAAAGATTCATTTGACGTACCGAAACAGAATGATGGAAAATTAGGTAGAATATTTGAATTATTGTTTCTTTTACAAGTATCTTGTATATGATTTGAATCACCATCTTGAAATAGAGGGTTTTTTTTCGATTTAAAAGTTTCATTTAATGAATTCTCACTTATTTGTGTCATGAATGATTTTGTCAAGTTCAATCCTAATCCTGTTGACTGAGGTGAAGTAAAAGATACAGATGAACAGGAGGATGTTGAGGAAGAGGAGAAGGATAGAGTTGGTGCAACGATTGGTATGTTAACTAATTTTTCAGACTTCTTTCCAGATGATGATAAAGACGAATTTTTTCGAGTAGTATGATGAGATTCAGTCATTTGCTCAGATGAATTAATTTATTGACGATACAGATTAATTTCGTACTTTTATTAGAATTTTGTAGACGTATTGAAATTTATTCAGATTACCTTAAAAGTAAATAAACAAAATCAGAATTTGATTTCATCACTTGTAAATTAAAGAATTATCGCAATAAACATGTCTATTGAAATATGTATTCGATAAGATAGATAAATGATTGTTAGAATATTAACTTAAAGGTTTTTTTGTCAACTGATTTTGGATCGAAATGGTTCGATAAGTAGAATTACAACTACACGCAATCAACATTGCGATATTATTTTTTTTTGAAGAAATACAATTTTTGAATTAAAGAAAACCAAAATTACTTGTAGATAATTTTCGTCACGCATTTTGAGATCAGCTGAAAAAGAGTCATTCTAAACCAGAAGGCAGTCAAGAGTACTAGTGAATAGTTTTAAATTAAAGAAAATAGCTTTTAAGCGCTCTCTGCGATTCATTAATTTTAATCATCTTTTAACTGAAATAAACCTATGTAAATTACCCAACTAAATAGTGATCATGTGCTCATTAGTGATTGATTCCAAGGTGCGGAAATGTGTGATAATTGAAACAAGCCAGGCAGAGAGTATTGTTGATTATAGATGATGTTTGCGTTAAATTAGGAAGAACATTTTAATGTTATGTAGGTGAATCGCCACACCACATCAGATAAATCCTAGAGCAGCTGAACTGTTAATGGAAAAAAGACCAAACTAAAACAAAATATTTCAAAAAGAAAGAATGAATTTACGGGACCAAATATTATCGCACCACTTCAAAAATTAATGTTTAATGGAATGTAATTAGTAGATGCATTTGTGTAATTACAATCGATTCTAAGCCTTGTCGATCAACGTCTTCAACCACTTAACTAATAAATATACATTGTTGAAGAGTTTCAAACTAGGATTTTCAGCAGCTAAATTCATTATGAGCACATATCCACCACCCCCTTAATAAAAATATACTATTAATTGAACACTGAACCGAACCAGCTGCATAAGGCTTAAACATTGAACTGTCTTATTGAAATTTCACTTGAATAACATCTCTATTCTGTTTGCTCTTAGTTTATTATTTACTTGAATTTAAATAAGCGTAAACAATTTACACTGAGGTTCTTCTCATGTTAAAACACTTTTATGAAAAGTGGCTGCCGAAAATTCAAAAGAAATAGAAGAATATAAAAAATAACCACATGATATACCTATTGTCTACATTAAAAAATTATTTCTTTACTTATAACTTAACTGAGCAGTATATTAAGTCATGCATATAAAAATAGTGTGACTAACGAGTTTACAATATATTTATTTTTTTCTTTTAAATTTAATAGTTAAGTTATTCAACATTTGTAATAGCCTCAGGCCCTCTGTTTCCATTCTTCCAGTTTATTATCTTAATCGAATTTCGGCTATTTTCATATTTAAAATAGGCATCACTCTTGTAACCACATATTCTGGTAGTATGTGTACCATTGACCGACACTTTATCTGATTGCTTCCTTTTTTCTTTTGTTATTCTTCAATTTCTACAAATTTTCAACACTTCTGTTTAAATTCTTTTGTTTTGTCTTTGAATAATTTAAATTTGATTATTATTATTATCGTCCTCATCATTTTTATGATTGATAAACTGTAATTATTTGTTCACTCTTAACTGTTAGTAATACTTATTAATCGAAGGCATACAAGCAAATTTAGAAAATTCTTTTTTACTAATTTAAAATAATCAGCGTCAACTTATTCACAACTTCGGATTGAAAATGTTTTTATCTTAAATTAACAGTAAACGGCAGAGGTAAACGGTTGATAAACTCAAAGTAAATTAGTTATCTCTTTAGGGGTTTCTCGTACTACATAACCTTATCAACATTCATAAGGACAAGGTGGGTGTAAAAAAGATGATCAAGACAAAAATCAGAATAGACGCATTCGGACTACGAAGAATTGATTAGATTTTGCATCCTAGTTTGAGATTTCTTAAGCTGAGAACACTCATAACCCTTTCAAGGATCAAATCTGATACATACGGATGTTACAATAAATCCTAAACCGTTTGAAAAACTCCAACGATCGATTGCAAAATGAAGTGTACCAACTCAGAGCCCAATAGTTGTAGGTTCAATCCCTAGTAGAGTTATGAGTATGCACCGCTGTAGAGTTCCAGACCAAAGACAATCGTTCACTGCTTCCTAGCTTTTAATGGTACCCCAATGAAGATTAATCAGTGACAAATACAAAATGTGAATTTATTTTCTTTAATATTTAAAATACACTATAAAAAATGGTGACCAGTGAAAATCAAAAAAATGCTGTCACAGCAACTAAATTAAATGAGAATAAGTCAGAATTGTTATTTTAGAAGAAAAAAAGCAATTAGATTAATTTGCTAGTAATTAATTGAATAATTGTTTTTCTTGTCAGTCTTGTTCAATATGAAAAGAAATCTGTTTAGCTCGTGGAACAGAAGATAAAGAAGTATGAATGACAGAAAAAGCTTTAATGATTTAGTTGTGTTACACTTAGGGTATTTTATCTTTCTGCATTCTCTTCTAATTGTTTGCCAATTTTCATAAAAATTCACTCTAGTCTGTTTTACTTTGTTTCTATCTAAATCATGCTATTGTGTGTTTTAGTTACTGCTCTTCCTCGAGTTATTTGTTGGTATGTTTTTTATTCACTTGTTTATCTGACTATTCTAGAAATGGACGGTGCTAAACCTGGATGTATGACACAACGATATTTGATCTGTAAGATTATGATGGGTGTAGCAGAATGAAATGTTAGTGTACGAAGAATTAATTCGTATCTCCATATGTTTCGCATTTTATGTGTATGCACGTGTGTGTATTGAAAATTTTCTTTTACTTATTCACCGAATAACACTGGGATTGAGTTTTAGAGCATTGTATGACTGAATTTATGTACTTATTACTACCTCTATATAGTTCACTGTTTCAAAATAAAGTAGAAACGGAGTTAATTGTGACCGCGTATATTAGAGCTTAGAATGGACAACAATTATATATATATATATATATATATATATATATATATATATATATATATATATATATATATATATATATATATATTGGTATAAGACCCAGTTTATGTAATGCTTTTAATTATGAACAGAAACAGTGATTACCTAATGTTTACAGTACAAAATGATCAGTACTTTAATATAAAATCATGATATAACACCTATTGATATATACTGCTATCTCTATAAACGCCTAAATCAAGTTAATATTAAAAGTTTGAATGGTTTTGAATATTAAATCGTTATCCTACAACGTATGATAAAATGATTCTGACTAGACATTAGGTTGATGGGAAACCAAGTTAGATAATTTATTACAACTAAATTAATTGTGTTTTCATCTAGACTGAAAATGAAAGTCTAATCAGATTTACCCTCCTTTGATCACTCAGCAGTGTCATCCTCTTGTATGTGATTAGATTATGACGAATATGATCAGTTATAAAATAGTTAAAATCAGCTATCATAGTCTTTGCAAGTTTGTAGTTTCATGTCCGCCGATTTTAAAAACTTTCAAACATTCAACTATTTCCATCATCACTCGTATGTATTGTGGGCGAATTTATCAGATAAACTTATTTACTTATTATCTGAATATCTTGTTTATAAAATATAAAAGTATTCATATTTCTTTAAACATTAAGAGTAGGATCAAATCTAGGGTTCCTGAAAAAAATCACTTCATCGGTAAAATGCTTTGAATTGAAGAAAAGTATAAATTTGTCCTTTATCGACCCAGACTAAATCTGTATTATTCCGGGTTTTTTCATTTTTTACAAAATGTCATTTTTTTTCGCATTATACAAACAAGACAAAGTTCATCCTTAATGTATGAATTCACACACATAAACATGGAAATCTATTCATTTTACTAAACAAGTTTTTTCCATGTTTAAGATGCTCAAGACAAAATTAATGCAGACAAATTATATTGACAATTAAAGCGAATCCCTCAAACCATATATCAGCTACGATAAGCATTAAAATCATTATTTCACTTGAGTATCATAACAGTGATTTTTTTTCTACTGAGGTCAACTATAAAAGTTTATACTGTGATTTTGTAAATATTAACTCATGTCTATGAATGAATTTCTCAAATAGTCAACTGATAAGATTGATGGTCTAATACTATGATTTTATATACTCCATTATATGTAGACTTATTTACTTATGTGCTTATATGTATGTGTATGTGTATTGGTTTCAGAAAATGACAAACAAAAAAGACCTCAGTTCAAGTTTTGTTTTAATGTTTGTCTATAAAAAAAAAGAGTTCTCTCCACTAATTCGTCAATAGTTTGATGCATATAACTGAAAACTTTTTGTGCAAGTCAAATATTTCCTTATTTACTCAGTGATCAGAAATTCAAAACTAGAAACGTTTTGTGTTTTAACAACAGATATTAATCCATAATGAGATTATTTTGAAGTAAATTTGTAACTTACAAATTAGATTGCCTGAATAACTACCTACATTTTGGGGATGAATTACTTTGAGATAACTTGTTTGCTCAACTCACTACGGAGTTAGATCAAGTGACCAACGACTAGAGTGAAGCTATGGTAATGGATTGACATAGAATTTTAGAAAATCAAAGTTTAGTAATCTGTTGACTGGGAAATATGCCTGTTACTAAGTTTTCTTCCAAAATCAAAGGAGACACAATGTATTCACTTCATAAATGGTTCTCAACATATTGGTGATAGGCGGTAAAAATTACTTTTAACCTGTCTAATTTTAAATCCCTTACAGAAACAAACGCAAATCAAATAGCTCAAAATATACTTCCTCATAAACGTGTTGCAAATTAGTCTCAGCTGATTATATGTCATTGATTAATATGCACAGTTTCACCTAAAAATGACCATTTCATAAGTCAGTAAATCTTGTAACAGAAAGAGGCGCTTGCGTAGAAGCAAATAT